GGCGCCAAACAACAATCTTATAAGGTTCAAGGGCAACCAACATGTGACTAACGGCGGCTCAAAACAGGTTTCTGTAATGGGAATGTTGGAGGCTGGCTGGACCATGATCTTAGTTGAGGCTATTGGCATCTGGAACCCGAGGAAAGAATTCCGTAAAAAATTGAAAAATACATCCAAAGAGTAAAAAACTATGTCTTAAGATCTTCCATGGAATGCCATGGGAAACAATTAACTCAACTAATATAATTGAGTTTGCATCACGTCATCCAACTACAACTTATAAAATACGAACCAACAGTTGATGAAAATCGGTTTAGAATTGTGAATCACCAGTAACTGCACGAGGGCCTTCCTAGCCACATACCTGAAAATCCACATTTAATTAGTTATAGAAATGAAGTTGGAATAATAAATGTAAAACAATTACTACAAACTACAAGTAAGTTAATGATAAGGAAAAATAAGAAAAGTCCAACACCTATTACAACAACAACTATTGTTGCTATTTAACACAACGAGGACAAATAATATTAGGTGACTAACATTGTTAATCTTTTCCAGGAAGGATTTCTCAGAATTGACAAGGACAAGTTATAAAATCTTAATCATTGATTCACTTGCAAAGAATTTACACAGTAGTACACATCTATATTATCCCCTCAATAAAGACTAAAGACTGTAATAAAAAATCTATTAAAAATGCGAGTCCCAAACTATGAAACGCAATTTCCTTCCATTGAACATTTTAAAAATGCATCTTTGAGTGATTTTTATAATACTACTTGGCATATTCACCGTCGTAGAATGGATTTCTCTTGTAATGTTCATTTATGTAACTTACGATCTTTCAATTCCAAACACATCGCTCGTTATTATTTTACTATCCAAAGTAAAGAAAGTAACCCGGCTACGCACGGACATCGAGCTTGTACTGTATTAAGTTATGTCTACTTGTAATGCTGGATAAAGGGTTAAAGGCAATCTAACAAAAAACACATTAAAACATATGTTAGCTAACATAACTTAGCTGTGAATGTTGCTTTTATTTTGTGTTATTTTTTAATGCTCTGAAAATTGATTATTATTTGGGACGAATATTTTATAGCCATTATGCCAACTCAGAATATGGTCGTTTTTAATTGCTTAATCGTCTCATATTCGCAGGAATAAATGGTTTCAAGGTCAAGAAAAGTTACTCCTATTCTGGACCCCGTGCAAATCAGCCATACACCTCTGCCAATGTAGTAGTAGATGTTTCGGCAACAATATACTACGTCCTATGATCTCTAATGTAGGCCATATGATTCTACAATACCCGCATCGACGGAAATAATAAGAGAAAGCCCACAGCTGGTACGGTACTTGTACCGCTATCACCAAATCACCATCGCCATGGTTACGGCGGCACCATACTTCAGGGCAGTATGGACCAACAGTGCATACTTTCACGAAGCGCGTTAACTTGTGAATTCAAAATAATGATGGATTCTTATTCATATGATATATCACTATCGTATTACCCTTTGCGGATTTTGGTTTTTGTAACTAAAACTCAGTTTTTTTTACCTCTATAATAGATTTGAGTATTTAGTCGTTAAAATAAACTTTGACTCTATTGAAACCTCAGCTGTCCAATTTTAAAATTTTAAATCAAACGAACGACAGTTCCATCAGATGTAGCTTAAACTAATAGGCTTATTGTTTGTTGTGTAATCATTATATGCATCCGTTTTACCATATCATTTGTGACTAGGAAACATTCCAACAAATTAATCAAAGGAATTAAGAACATTTCCAACCCCCCCCCCCACACACACACACACATTGTACATTATAATTTACGTTTCTGATTTTAATATTCTTGATTAAAAATAAATTAATCCAGGGGGACTCATCCACATGTGTGTAGCTCGATTTGATGTCGAGTTTTCAGTTAAGGCATATGAGAGTGCTATGTTTAGGGCCGTTTTCCTTTCATCTGTGTAGGTAATATAAGTTGAATATAAGCTTATCGGTGTGGTACGGTAGATGTATTTCAGAGTGATGCTTGTCGAAAAGAATAGTTGTACAAGTACAAGTGCATATTCTAAGAACTCATTCAATTTAACGCCCGAACCATCCACATAGCGGGAAGGATGATTCAGTTGTGAAAACACAATGTATGGCTTCTTAATTTTTGTAAGCCCCACAAGCCTAAATCACGACTATTTTAATACAAATATTATATGAATTTAATTCTCCGCACAATTCTTTCAAGTGAAGCGATTTTGCAAACTACATTGAACCAGGGAACACCCATATTTCTCCACTACACGTTTCCCCAAATAAATAGAATCCTTAAGCGAATTCTTCCTGAATAAATACCATAGGAATTTTACTTAGGAAATGAGGTCCGGTTGTTCCCGGAAGGAAATCGTGTCATCTGAGAAGCAGTCCGATTCATCTCAATGTCTGAGAATGAAAGGATATGACGAATCGTGGATGATTATTTGTATGAGGGCCTACTTCAGCTGCAGGGGGCCTACTACAGCTGCAGGTGGCCTACTTCAGCTGCAGGGGGCCTACTACAGCTGCAGGTGGCCTACTTCAGCTGCAGGGGGCCTACTACAGCTGCAGGTGGCCTACTTCAGCTGCATGGGGCCTACTTCAGCTGCAGAGAGGGCCTACTTCAGCTGCAGGTGGCCTACTTCAGCTGCAGAGAGGGCCTACTTCAGCTGCAGAGGGCCTACTTCAGCTGCAGGGGGCCTACTTCAGCTGCAGGGGGCTTACTTCAGCTGCATGAGGCCTACTACAGCTGCAGAGAGGGCCTACTTCAACTACAAACAAATAGCAAAGCTTTTCCCAACCACCAAAAAACCTTGGTAACATGTTTGTTTTCCCTTGAAGACTTAACTTGATCAAAGTTCCACATTAAACAACCGCTGCAAGTGTGAAGTGCTACTGATTCAAAAACAGACGTGTAAAAAGATATTTTGATGCCCCAACTGAAATCCAAGCTGTAACCCAACATTTAGGGAACGCCCTAAAATACAAGAATATTTGGATTGATTCAGGTTTTTGTAATCAAATGTGCATTGTGGCTTCGGTGATCACGATTATCAAGGACCTCAACTTTGATCACATTTCTCAATCTCCACACATTATACTTTCTGCGTCTCTGAATGTCGAGACTGGACCCGACGAAGGCGACCTTTAGTATCCAGCGTTACAGATTGGAAACTGCTTTCTCTGTTTCTACTGTTGACGAGATAGCTACATTAGATTGAAGGTGATATACCATAAGAGGCATTTCACAGCTGGGATGGAATGTGTTTACTCTCCCAAGAAAACTCAACCCAGTCAATGAGCCAAAGTATTTTAGATTTACGTTATTGAACAGTAAAACTAAACATAACTAACCAACTGTATTGTGATTGACATCTATATAAAAAAAATTAGAGTTTTTTCTGTAAATTGCTCAGAATCATAAATTTTTAGGTTAGTTTTACGTTCTATACATTAAAGAAGCCGAAACAAGTCTCATATAAATTTCTGTCCGTCTGTAACATTCAAATGGTATTTTACGCAATCTTCTCCAGGAAAACGAAAGTACCTATCAAGATCCAAGTCATTTTAATGTATTCACTGGATTGGCGAGAGTGTCTTTAGCCATTAAAATATGGCCTCACTACTTTGTAAATAAAATTACGGACGTTCAAAAATGCAGTTTTGTGCGATTTTTGTCAAGTTTTCGTCCAATGTTTATCATATAGGCCTAATCACCTATGAAATAACGAACAGCTGTTCGGATCAAGATTATTTTTCTAGCTGTCATTGATATGTTTACAAATACCGCAACCATTTCCGATGACGTTTTGAAGACAAATCCCAACCAAGTGAGATTAAACACATTTTTCTTACGTAACGGTTTAATTAATCGCAAGTGGAATAATAATAGTGTAACCGTAAATGAAATTAAATAACTAGGCATCATCCAGGTCAGGAACCAGAGATTCTTTGTGTATAAAATTGTTCTTGGGTTTTGATAACCAGAAAGAAGACCTTGAATCAGTGGTGTATAAGCTGGGATACTTAAACTTATTAATGATCGTCGCCAATAGCTTACAAACAAGGTTTCCACTCATTGACGGCGCTTCAATGGCGGTTGTGTAAAGTGTAAAGTAAAAAATCAGAACTGCAGTGGGTGATTGTAGCAAAGGTTTACGGTTTATGGACGATGCTAAACTCGCTTTTCCAATGTGTCACTTTCTGTTCCTACTCACCGCTTATAAACCTTAAAAATATGTGCTTATAGTGTTGACAGCTTCTACGGAATACCACCACCCCTAAAACTAAATCAAAGCACCTATATTATTGTAATTAATTTGCATATTACGGGTAGTATTTAGGTACCATTATTAATGAGTCGTTTCGACCATTAAGTGTTTATTTACTTAATTTTTAAATCGCATTCTATAGAATTATAGTCATGTTACCACGGGAAACGATTGCGGTGATTTCGTCGAGAACAGAATACATCGGATTATTCTGCAAAGATTGATTAGATTAATTATTCGTTACTAGTCACTATTAACTTTGGTTGTGTGTTTAACAATAATGACTAAACGGAGAGGCATTTGCTTCATATTTGCCTATTTAACTTATTTACTATGTCGTGTGCGGAAAAGTATATTTTTTATAGCGAAGTTCTCTAATTTAACTTTACTCTATTATACGCAATTGAGGAGGGAGGTTACTACGTATCCGTCCAGCCAGTAAATTAATAATATATACTAAGTGAGATACAGCAGAAGCTGCATTAGGTTGTAGCAAATAAAAAATATTTTGTCCCTAGGTCCATACATCGAATCTTTTAAATTTTAATAAGGATAGATCGAGTTAACATACGGTACCACGTAGTATGTTTTCTGTGACGGTACTCAAAAACACCGATCCCTAACATGAAGCAATTACAAATCGTATTTGATTTGATATCCGTATTTTGGAAGCAAATCTTTTACCTGATCCACATGTTGGCGATGTTTGGTATATTCCAGATAGACACTTCTACACTACTGCATGTTTAGTGAGGCACACTCGCGTCCCGTTCCCAACACCTACTAGTGACTACAGACTACGGCTCAAGACTCAAGAGACAGGGACTGAGCACAGAGCCACAGAGAGGTATCTGTGGTCAAGGGGGAGGCGCGCGATAGAGAGAGAGAGAGGGAGAGAGAGAGAGAGAGAGAGAGAGGGGGGGGGGGAGAGAGAGAGAGAGAGAGAGAGAGAGAGAGTGAGAGAGGGAGAGGGGGATACCGCTAGTCTTCTTGAGACGACGAAACAACGCCGGGTCTGGTAACACGAAAATGAAGAACTTTTCAAATGATAAAATCGAGAATACAAAAACTCTGAATATGAGGCTGTGAGGTTGTGAGCCCCGGCGGATCATCTTTGGCAGAACGTTAACTGGATACCTTGAACAGTGATTTGGCTTGAGTTCAGTTAGGTACCCAAGAAACGGTGAGAACAATTTATTTCGCATTAATCAACTCGAAAATAGATTATGGAATAGAAATATGGGGTGGAACATATTTTACCAGCCTAAAACCAATCATTACTTTACAAAAATCTTTCATCAGGATAATGCTAAAGAAAACCAAAACTGAACCTTCATCCCCACTTTTCAAAATTATTGAAATATTACCAATCAGGAATCTATATGTTTACAAAGTTCTGAAAATATATTTCAATAGATGTGGTACTGATACAACAAATCCAAGACATACTAGACTAAGAAGTAAAAACAACGTCTATGTACCTAAACCTAGACTAACAATATTAAAAAAATTCTCATATTTGGCTCCCACATTTTATAACCTTCTTCCCGAGCCCATCAAAGCAAGTGAAAACGTTAATGTATTCAGCAAATTAACACGAAACTACTTGCTTGAAATAGATAGTATAAACACATTTTTTACCTCATTGGTCTAACAATACATCATAGTTATTTTTAATAATCTTGCACTTATTAAGTCAGGGATGCTCGTTATGTTCAAATAAGCTGTAAGTTCAGGACACTCCAAAATAGTACTGTAATCACGAAGATTGACAGTATAGGGTCAGTTTTCAAATAGATAGTTAGATAAGGTTTTGTTGTGATAGGTTACTGTGTTAAAGCTATTGTTTGAAGCCTAATTTTATATATTGTTTTAATTTTGTAATAAAAATACTGTGGTAATGGTGACGGGCTGGACTTTCCAACCAAGATTTGCTCCAACTACCAAAAATGTATGTTCCCCGCACAGGTTCTGTAACCTCGGGGCTTTATTGTTCGTCATTTAATAAAATAATTAGTTAGATTTATGTTGTGAAGAGTATTGTGTTTTAGTTTATATTCAAATAAATACAATGACATGTAATACTTATGTACAACCGTAGTGTATAAATATGTATTGTATTGTACCTGTTGTATTTGAAAAGAACAATAAAGAATTTTTCAATTCAATTCAATTCAATTCAAATTATATCGCTTAATTCATCAGATAAAAAACTCAATCAAGATAATAGTTTTTCAAATGATCACAAATGTATTACTCAATATTATCCTGGGCTACAAAAGATTAACAGTGTAATGAAAGTAGTATTCAATATTTTGAAATCTTCCCCCAGTACTGAAAATGTATTTTCCAGATCACCACGTCACGTGTTATTTTTAAAAGGCCACGATATAAAAAAAAAATATTTACGTGAGACCAAAAATTGAAAACGGATGTGAACCATTACAAGCCCCGATGTCGTATTTGCAAAATTATGAGTTGTACAACTGAATTTGATAGCAAAGTTACAAACACAAACAAGGCTTATCCGATTGTTGGTAGATGAACTTGTGAAACTCACAATGTGATTTATCAACTATCGTGTAAACACTGTCCAAAAGAATACATTGGCCAGACGAGTTCGTAAACATTGTCCAAAAGAATACATTGGCCAGACGAGTTCGAATGAGAGGCCATCGTTTTGATGTGGTACGAAAGAAAAGCAATCTATAATCATGTCACTCACCACAACCAACATTTTGAAGGCTGCTATACCCTTAAATCCCCTCACAAAGTAAGCCCACATCAATACCCTAAATGCAACCAAGTGGTCTTAAGAAATTCTGAATTGGCTCATCAGTTAATACTTAAAACAAAGTTCCACCCTGGTTTAAATTTAAGATATTAAAAACGTGATTGAACTCAGCTGGATTTTAATTTTCTTTTTTAGGATTATTTTATTATCTTTGATCTGTACTCAATCACATGCTCTCAAAATTAAACGATTTGTAAACGGTTCCTGTTTATTTATTTTGTTCATTTGTACATTTCATTATTTTCTCTCTGCTTGAAAACGTTTGAAGCGAAAATTTACACTGGTTCATGTTTCATTTTTCATGATTCCCTCAAGAAATCCTCAAGAACAATATGGAAATATTTAGATAAAGTGCTACTATCGTAAATATTAAATTACATACTAACTCAGCATCCTAAATGTGATACTCTTGTCCTAAGCACGAAACATGTCGTTTATAAATAAAAAAATCATTTATGGTGCTGAGTTAGTATGTTTAATTATGTTATATATATCCATTGAGGTTACTACGATTTATAGAGGCTTTCGTTTTTTTAAATTCTTCTGGTCGTTTATTGTGGGTGTCGTAGCCAATTTGGTTGGGTATTTTTATAAACAAAGCGGTGTAATTTGGGGACAGGTCTACATGCTTACGATCTACTTAAATCTTTTGATGTGGTCAAACAAATGGCCAACATCTCGAATGTCAGAGCAGAAAGCCTCTCTCTCTCTACTCTCTGTTCGAGCTTCAACAGCCCAATTCTGTAGGCACGGCGACGAACTCCCCAAGATGCAGCCATTCGCTCGCCAGACCAAGCAGGAAAATGTACCACTCGTATACAATAAAAAGTGCGTGCGTGTATAGAATAATACTCGTAACCCTTTTAAGGAAGCGACCATTTAATAGTATATTTCGACACTACGGTCCACTGTCACTCTTTTCAGACCGAGTTTGAGCCAGGGTCGAAGGCTGTATCACTTTTGTTCCGCTGTTTAAGGCTTATTTCTTCACATCACTTTTGTTCCGGGGGTCAGCAGGTAGACTTTAAGACTGGCCGAAACATAAATTTTGTTCCGTGGACATATATTTCTTGTTCCGTGAGAGAGAGGTCTGTACTCTCGCTCCCCCAAATCCTCTCTTTCGCTCTCCCCCTAATAATTTTTTCATAGGTTAGGTTGGATTAGGTTTAATTATTTAAATTCCGGCCGGTCCCGAAATCTACCTGCTGACCCCCGAAAAAGTGACTTGAAGAAATATGCCTTCAACCGCGGAACAAAAGCGACACTCGGGGTCAAAAAGACACTGTTGCCGGTCTGATTCGTCATACCGCACCACTCTTCGGGCTAAATTATTAAAAAATATATACGTTTCCTACATTGTTTGGCCTTATAAATTAGCTCCCACAATGGGGTTCGTCTTGTTTTGCAATTGCAGTACATACGAACAACTGTTACGGTTACTTACAGTAACAAATTTGTATTTTATAATTGAAATTTTATTACGTTTCAATTGGTCTAAGTTTGGATATAGGTGTAGGCCTTCATTACAGTCAAGCATACATATAATACGATGGTAACATACACGATTTTTACTTTAATAAAAATAATAAACTTTTTCATCGAGAGAATTTTCCGGAAAATCCAGCAAACGAATTTCACACTAATAAAAATGTACACCGATGTGCTCGACTCCAGCAGATTCATGATTGAAACCCAGTTGTTTTTGATGCAGTGTGATGAACACGAGTTTTTAATAATTGAAGCAACTCTAACAACTTTCTTAATTAAATATCAATTGTAGGTTGAATACCCACATATTGAACTAAATTTACAATAATATAGTTTTAATTGTCATCCAGGTACATACGAACATTCAACCTTTTTCGTTATACAACTGGCAAATTCAACGTTAACTTTCACTGAAACGAAAATACAAATTGGTAAAGTTTGACTCGCTGCGCTCGTAGCATCAGTCGAATAATTGGTAACGTTTCACAAACTAATTAATTAACAAGTAAAAGCCAAACAATCAGGCCAAGCCCAGCCAACAGCCGTGGAATCATTTGTGTTCTATTTGGTCTGATAATCTGACGATGGAAACTTCTGAAGGTAATTTGAGTTAAATACTGTACAGAAGTGTGTAATGAGTTAATATAAGAGTAAGATAAGATTTTTTGTGGAATATATAATTATTTATTTGATTTCTTTAAATAAAAGTTATTGCAGCAAGAGTGAATTGAACAAAATATAAAAGAGTAATATAGATTATGTTAAATAAACTTTTGCAGATTGTATTTCCAAGCATTTGAAATATTTTCATCGTACCACCAATACCACCAGTATTCGATTCGGAGACATACAACGATGAAGTAAAAGATACTCGAAGAGTTATCTCGAAATACCGCGGTCAGCGACGCCTAATGATTACATCTTCACTATGGACCACATCACACACACTTTGTGTACTAACAATTATTCCCACAGTGCAACGGTGAGTTGTTTTTCATTTTTTTGCATTAAAACTTACCACTTTTACAATTTTTTTTTAGATTAAGTGCTACTGGTAAAACTGATGATTTAAATAATCCGCCTATGTAGTCCTCATTGTTAGTTTATTTGCTTACAAGTCATATGTTTTATTATTCGTACAAACGCAATTTTAAAATTAAAAGTTTTAAAAACAGAGTTATGTGGTGGGTATTTTTATTTCAACAGTGCTGTTAAACATACTACTTGGGGGTCTGAAAACACCTTTACCAATGTTTTCTGTAAATCGCAGTATTATCAAAACAACTAAGGCAGTAGAACTGTGACTAAAGTTAGTAAGTGGGTCACAAAAGAAATGTGACACTCTTAATTGTAACGTGCAACTCTTTTACTAAATCTGTACTATTAAAATATGCTCTGTACTCGTAGTAAAAGGTTCATTTGGTAGTTAATTGCACTTCCGATAAAGCGCTAGGCAGTCTGTTGTCAACTTTTGTCCCTCTTAATCTTAATAATCTCTTTTATCTTTATTGTCT